AGTTCACCTGAATCCACACAGTAGCCGAGTGGCAGTGCGGGCTTCGTCTTGCCAGGTCCCCCGCTCCCGGGGCTGGAGGGAAAAGCAGGACGAGCTTGCTGGGTGGCAACGAGGTCTGCAGTGCAGAGTGATGTCAGCTGTCCAGCGGTTGCGGCAGCGGGGAACCCTCCTGCGGGCTGGGTCGGTCCTTCCCAAGTCAGGCGCTGTCCTGCCCACGTGCAGTGTGTCACTCCATGAGCAGAAAGCACATGTACTTGCACGCGTACCCTGAAAAACTCACGAGCACACCCGCGTGTGGTATGAAAACCCGTTCACTTAGGGTAAGGTGAGCATGCAGGCGTTCTGAACGGGCGTCCGTCAGCGGCCCCGCCACCCTCACCAGTCAGCTTGTATGACAGGGGACGTTCCACTGCAAAGGTCTGCGGTTCAGGGCAGTTCCGCTGCCTCCGTGCCATTACTGCGTGTCGACAGGCGTCCAAGATCCCTTCTTTATAAAAAGACGCCTAAACGAAATATGTCTAAACTCAGCCATCTTTTTAAATGAGGCCACCTGTTGATAGTCATCTACTCTTTGTCCATTTTGTAAATTTTGATGAGAAGACAGGCTCTGCGAGAGAGATGCCATTTTAATTCACTCAGTGCACTAGACGGGAGTGTCGCATGACGCCGGCCGCGGCGTTCAGTTTGAGAAGCTCTTCCGTTTGCTCCCCCCGAAAGTTCTTTTTGCTACCAGGCCCATGTTTGAGAGTGGACAAACCTGTACCGTCCAACACAGTTGGGTGGTTCCTCCGCTCTCCCCCGCCTTTCCCCATTCCCAGAGCTACTCTTGAAGGGGGTGACATCCTGCCACAAGAAAACACAGTCCGGGACCTCTCGGGCGGCGTTTGGAGCGCCATGTAAACGTTTGTCAGAACACCTTACCTGTTCTTGAGGCTGCTCTGCACCTCGTGCGCTCACTTCCGGGCAGTATTGCTAGAGAGTCATGTGGCCAGCAGCCGGGGCCAATTCCGGGGACCTTCATACCGAGTGTCCCAGGAGAGAGGCTGATCTGTGAGGATACTTCTCAGGAGGTACTGTGCCTCCGCGTGTACAAGCATACCTTTCATTTTTGAATAGACATCTCGATTTTAGTCACATTTATATAACTGACCTTTTTACTAACAAAAAATGATGACATATTTTGTAAACTATGCTTAACATGCTTTTCGTGGACCCCTCAGCCATAACTGTAGGGGTCTCTGTGCTAAATAGGGTTGTTTGTACATACAGCAGCTTTGAACAGTTGGTTGTTTTTGTTTGTTTGTTTTAATATAAGAGAATTGCTTGCTTGTGTTACATTTTCAGTGAGGATTCAGTTCGTGGGAAGAACCACACAGGAGGGCTTCCATTTACTGGTATTTATTAATGGGCAAAGATGTGCTCTAAGCTCTGTGGCCCGTCCTGAGTTATTCCCCAGCTGAGCCCTAACTCTGGTCCCCACCACTCCCCCGAGGCCTCCTAACAGGCGAGCAGGAGGCTGGGACACCAGGGCCTGTGGAGCCTGGGGCTGCCAGGTATGTCACCTCCTATCAAATACCTGTCCTGGGTGGAGCCAGCTTGGATTTTCAGGTGATTTTGAAAACTGCTAAAGTGGATTTAAAAGGCTAGAATGTCCTTTGACTTCTTTAAGTCTGTTTGTCTACCTTGGGTGGTTTTACCAAATGCCTGAGTTCTGTAAAGAATGGCTCAAGTATTCTAATTTTAGTTTGCCAAACTTCCTTCTCGATTTAAGTCACGTGTTCTACTTGGAAAGAAAGAGAAAAACCAAAGAGAGAAAAAACAAATGCAGGTTACATGTGCATTTCACTGGGAATCTCATTTCTCAGTCTTTCTCTTTTTAACCCTACATTGCATAATATGGACCCCCCCCCCAAAAAAAAATAAAGACGATATAGCATTTTGATGCATTTCACTTACTCTTTCATGTTCCCTGCCATCTCTGCTGAAAGAGTCATGGTAGCCTTCTCAGTGTTGATCAGACCTAAAATGCAGGGCAGCCGCGCAGGCGATGGGAGCAGTCCTGAAATAGAATGTTTGCAAAATCTTGGGAAAGTAGCATACTTCGTCTTTGGTCTGCAAACTCAGACAAGAGTGGCAGCCGCTTGCCAGGGCTTTGATGTGGCTCCGCCTGCACGGTGCGTTTTCGGTAGATCTGGTCTTTATCGCCTGGTGCATCTGATGTGGTCGGAAGCGTTCCACTCAGACGGAGACTGAGTGACCGACTCCATGCCCAGTCAGAAATTCTTCCTCGATCCTACATTGCCGTGGCATAGACACAGAGCAAGTGCATTTAATTGAGATTTTGGCTCACAATAGAAATCTTTGGTAAATGCCACGTGAGGCAGTATTTTGTCAGTTGGAAATCTTTACTGCTCAAATTGTTGATATTCTTCGGTGCAAATCGACTTAGAGTAGAATCGCCTGATTACCTGGAGTTGGGGCACTGCCGTATTGTTTTTTTGCTGAGGAGAAGAGAAATAACATGTCCCTTACAGGACAGTGCCAGCAATTGTGAATAAATGTCCTTTCCATGGCTATAGGATACAAACTAACTAGGTCAAACTGCTCTAAAACAGTTGTCTCTGTTATAAGCTTAAAAATCATTCTCCCTGCTAAAATTCCACTTGGCTGATGCTATTGTTCTCTGATGGATATGAGGAAAGTGAAGTTCAAAAGATTTTGAGAAAAATAAAACTTTTTTATCCTGAAGAAAAAAAACCAAAAGCTTAAATATTTGATGCAAATATAGTTAGCTACAACATGCATAAGTAACATTGCCTTTAGTTTATTTCATAGGCATCAACATTTGTATTTAGAAAATACTTTAACCAATTCTCTGACTTAAAAAAATTTTTTTTTTTTTTAATAAACATTACCATCAGTTGTATTTGACTTACCTACTTTGCAAGGCTTTTGGTAACCTTTTCCGTTCATCTTAAATCGTCAACATCAAGATGATGTTATCTGTGTAAGTCAAGTGACAGCTTCCAAACTGATGACTGGCTGTTGACAGCTGAAGTATGTTGTACAAGATTGCTGTAACTTGATATGTATTTTTGTTGAATGAAGTTTTTGTAAAAAAAAAAAAAAAAAAAAAAATTTACGATGTTATTTGAATGAATTTTTGTAAATGCTGTGAATCTATATTTGTTGTTTTGTATCTGTATATTAAAAATAATTTGCCAAACTGGTTCTGCGCATGCATTTGAGTATTAGAATAAGATATATAGAGAGATATAGATATATATTTTATTTTAATGGAGAGAGTCAACAGGGTGAATTCTGGGGTTCACAGCGCATTTCCTGCGAGGACATCGACAGACTTCTGTAACATTTCCATTAATGAGCTGGTTCAAACCACTGGATGGATATGGGAGAAAGAAGGCTCTGAAGGGAACAGATGGGGGTCACTTGACTTGAAATCATTCACTAAATGTTGGAATAAGACTGATAAAGCCAAAACCCAGAGAGAAATCCTATTTTGTAGCAGCGGCTTTTGCTACAGGTGGTGGAAGGTAGGTGACTAGAACACACCTTTGTCCATCCACCTGTAGATCGGCCTCCCTTCTCCAGAAGATTTGCTAGTGGCCCTAGGCCCACTTACCCTTTGGGGTGGGGTAGGTGACAATTTCCTCCTTTAATTAACAGCCCAGAAAAGCTAAGTTAATAGCCCATTGTTTGCTGTGACTGTAAACAGAAACTGACTCTTACAAAGGCTGCCAGGCAACTCGTCCCCCACTTGTTTACTCATAATTTCCACCTCATAATTTCCACCCACTTTCCCAAACTCTTCCCCCTCCTTTGGCTGGACTGACAGTGGGGGGAGGGTTAGCTTAGGGGTGGGGTGGGATGAAAGCACTGGGAACCCAAGTCTGCCTCTCACAGGGTGGCTCCTAGGGACTCAAGCTGGCACCCTATATAGGAAGGAGTGAAAATAGAGGGCTGTGGCCACTTCTAGAAGAGTCGTGGGGAGGTGACCCAGCGGTGTGAGCCACCTACCCGGTGCACTGAGGAGACAAGCCGAAATGTGCGAAGCCTCCCACGGAGCTTTCGGTGAAAGAGGCGAGACAGACAGGACGTACAATTAGGATTCGGCGTGAACTCTGCGATAGTAGGATTGTGCCCAGGTTCGGAAGGGACCTCAGGGTCTGGAGTCACTTCCCCTGGTGACTATCGGGGCAGGAAGGCGGCCTGAGGAGGCCAGACCCCAGCAGGATCCTGGAGGGGTGACAGCGTGACAGGGCCAGCCGGGCCGGTGGCATCGAAGGGCAATGCGAGCTGTGTGTGACCGGAAGGCCGGGAGCCGGGTCTTACGGGCCTGTGGACCGTGACGAGGGGCTGCAATTTCGTTTGGGAGGCAAAGACTTGAAGGCAAGGAACGTCGTGGCCAAATTTGCATTGGAGCCCAGTCCAGGGGCAGGGGAAAGGCCGGATTTAAAACCAGAGGCAAGGAGCTGGTCTGGGAGACAGGACCCAGCGAAGAGACATGGGAAGGGACAGGAGGCTGGACGTACAGGAGACTGGACGTGAAGGATGCTCAGTGGGATGGCAGGTCTCCATCCATTGGTTGGAGAATGGTTTCCAAGTTTTGCCTTGGGGTGACAGGCGGGCGCCAGCGCCATAAACGGATCCAGGACATACGGCGTGGAGGGGGCAGGAATTCCGCGTTTGTTTGTGACAGTCGAGTCTGTCCGGTGGGTAGTCAAAGGAGCAGGATGAAGCCCAGGAGAGAGGTCAGGGCTGGCAGAACAGACTGGA